TGGGGGCGTGTTAGGACGAGCCGTTTTAGGGGGGCGTGGCAGAGTCTTAACTTTGATAAAGAATATCTCTTTGGTTTTGAGACTTTAGTCTTTGCAACTTCAGGGATCGTATCTATGCACATTCAGCTTGTAACACTCCAAAGAGAAAGGAAAACTTGAAATCGCATCATATGACCCCTTTAAAAGAAAGATGTTTGCATGCTTATTTACTGTTACAAGTCGGACAGCACTGGTCATGTGGTTTTGTTGGGTGCGTGCAACTCGCAGACAGACATGAAGATGTTGCAGATTCACACGACACTTGTCCACCCTGCATCATAAGATATACCCATATATACACAAACAAATACATTCACGTGATCATATATATATAGTAAACACTTTAGTAAACACTCACCGAGCACTGACATCTTAAGCATGGATCCTGTCTGGACACAAAGGTTTGACCGTCTGTGTACACCTCGCCCTCATGAGTGCACTCCTCACATCTGAACACCAACACACAGAACTGATTAATGAAGGTCAAATAAAGAGTGTTTCACCTCTGTCTTGTTTACTCTTCTAGCAAAAAAAGTGTGATGAAATGATGATACCGTGCACAGCATTCTCCTGGTCTCCTGACTGGATTATGACAGGGAGTCGGTGGGCAGGGTGGGTACTGAACGCAATTAATATTTCCATTCTGAAAAAAAAAGTTGTGGAAATGTTTTTTAAAAATTATTTTTCATTTTAAAAAACCATTTCATCCAAATCAATTTGAGATTTTTTTAATTTGTCGCTTTTATTCAAAGTGATTTACACTGCATTCAGAGTAAAAATTGTATCAGTTCATGCATTCTCTGGGAAATAAAATAAAATTAAATAAAATTAAATTAAATTGAAATTACATATCAATGACAGTGAAGCAGCAGATTACAAACAAAAATGCAAGTTTTGAAAACAATAAAATAAAATTAATAAATAATTTAAAATTAATTAATAAAATCATTTACATATCAATTACAAAGATACAAACAATGAATATTAAAAAAAAATTTAATTACTTTTTTATTAAATTAAAAAATAAAAACGTTACATATTAATGGCAGTGAAGCAGTATATAAATAAAAATATAAGTACTGAAAAATTTAAAAAGTACATATCAATGAAAGTGGAGCAGATTCTACACAAAAAATTAAATATATTAAAAATATTTTAAAACCTAAAATAAAATAAAAATACATGTACAAAAATTACATGCTGTTTTAATGACAGTGAAGAAGCACATTACAAACAAAAATGCAAGTTTTGAAAAACATTAACAAAACAAAATGAATAAATAATTTAAATTAATTAATAAAAACTGTACATATTAATAACAGTCAAGCAGTTTATAAACAAAAATATAAGTATTGAAAAACATTTGTATACTGAATCAAATCAAATCAAATAATAAAATATGATAAAACAAAAAGTAAGTAGAAATTATAAACAAACAAAAGTTGCAAAGCAGATTCTTACGCAACTTACCTCACATTTACACGTGGGATCACATGTGGGTCCCGGCGGCAGAGTCATCCCGTTCGAGATATCTATTCCATTCAAACTGCAACCTGTGAGAAATAAATGTATCGAACTAATTTGAAGTATAAATAGCCAAGACACTTCTTTCCAAAGCAATATATTCCTAGCCTTTCTATAAATGTTTGTTGTTATAACTTGTAGACCTATCATGGCATTGGTGAACTCTGAAAAATATTTTTTTCTTGGAATAACGTCTAGTAGTATGCATCAAAAAAGTAAACTGACAGAATTTTGATTACATGTTCTCAACTGTTCTTTGCTTTTTAAATGTTTGAAACAGTTTTAATGTATCAGATTGGACACACCGTCACAGACAGGACAGCAGGATCCAGGAGGAGGAGAGGCTGGGCTATTACAGCGGATATTACAGCGCTCACTCTCACACTGAACCAGACCCTCCTATAGAGAGAGAAAGAGAAAAATTATATTTATAGAATAAAACACTGATGGGCCAAAAACAGCTCGGTAACAGGTGAAGCCCCACCGTGCATGTACAGGTCGTGCAGGGGTCATTAGGAAGCTTCCACTGAGAGCTGTGTTGGTGCCGCACATTGTCCTGGACACAACCTTCATATCAAGGGAAAAATCTTTTGATAAGTATGAGTTTCTAAAGACAATCTTAACTTAAGTCACTTGTCATTAAAATTGACAAAAATGTAGAAAAAGTCCACAACACACTTACTTCGACACCTGGGACAGCACTGCCCACCTACAGTCTCCACCAAATTACAGGCAATTTCAGGACACGTCTCAGTGTTACAGACTATATTCCCTGACTATAAGAAACACACACACACACACACACACAACCTACTTAATTAGTGAAAATTTCAATAACTTACTATTTAACTTTAAACTTAAACTTATCTTTTTGTATGTGGGCAACAATGAGGGTAAAGCATTGCAAGTACATGAAATACTTAAAATAAAATAAAAACATTCTAAAATAATTTTTAAAAATTTGACATATTGCCTTGGCAACTAACTAAAATAAGTTGAAGTACTAAAATTATTAAAACAAAAAAATGAAATACAAATAATATATATGTATTTAATTTATTTTTATTTCATTTTTTAGTCATTTATTTTTTAGTATGTATATTGCACATACATACATACACATATATATATATATATATATATGTTTGTGTTTGTGTGTTGTATGTATGTTTTAATAATATATACACACAAATAATATACAATAATAAATCATATAAAATAATATAACTATTAATACGTTTATAATATGTATGTATGTATTTTCTATTTAAAAACTACTGACTATTATTTCATATGTCAGGTTTTACAGGGTAAAGTCAATTCAAATACATCAATTAACATAATTATTTCACTCATTCTTTGTCCCAGAAAATCTGCAAAATATACATTAATCATTGAAATGTCTTTTGCCATTTCTGTTTGACCTCATTTAACCTTTGCACTCAATTAAAAATTTAACAAAGTATTTCAAAATCTGTATGCTTTGGTTTATACTGGCAGCATCTTTAAATATATACTTACTATATTTCATATAGACGTATTCTAATACTCTGAAATATGTGAACAGTAATATGAGATTACTTAGCCCTTTTATCATCTTTTTCTTGGGTGGTTTTTAAAGGTTTTGTGGTGCAGTTCTTTTTTGTTTCAATTTTAATTTCAATTTCATCCCCACAAGGAGAACACACACACACACACACAGTAGACTCACAGAGCAGCTGCACTTGAGGCAAGGGTTTGATCTCGACACAAACTGTTTCCCGTTCTCATAGATTTCACCCTCATGTTCACATCCTAAATATTTACACGGAAGAAAAAACAAATACACCTTTTATAATGTATATATATATATATAAAATATGTAATATAATATATTATATATAATATGTATATAAGTGTATATAAGTATAACTGATATAGCCTTATGTTTTATTTATTTTTCCCTTTTTATTCGAAATATTCCCAAACGTGTTAACTATAATATGAAATATCTAGATTCTCAAATATGTGTAAGTAGATGCATTTTGCACCTTTATATAATAGTGTAACTATGCATAAAGACCCGTCTTTTTACTTATACCAGATATGGGTGTCATGCCATGAAATATTTTTAATAAGACTGACTTTGTATTTAATGTGAATCTAATAGAAACATTGTAATTTACTAATTATAACACTTTCATTGTACAAAAAGCAAAGAACATTGACATTATCAAAGAACATTTTAAGCACTCTCAAAAACTCTCATTATAATCACTGAAGCTGTTTACCCTGTGAAATAAATATCCTACTTGCATCGTATGTACAACTGCACTTTGTTGTTTCTGTTGAGAGAATCATCAGAGAGCAGAATTCCTTCAGCAATGCGTGCGCACTGAACAAAACATTTCCGCGATGACTCATCTGAACGCCTCTGATTGGTCATTGCATTCATAAGCTCAACAGAATCGTGTGTGATTTGTTACAATGTGCAGCTGTAAAAACGCGTCTGTCTCTGGATCAGCGCCAGGCAAAGCGCGAACAATTTGAATTTAGCAGCCGATGCTGTGCCGCACTGCACCTTCTAATAACGCCAGTGTGATTGTATGAAATATACAAAAATATTATTCGGCTATTTTTGTCTTTTGGAAGCTGCATTCAAAATCCACTTGGCTCAAAAATCATGCCCAGTTTGAATGGGCATGACGCCTCTGCTCATTCATTGGTATATATCAAAGCACAGTGTAGGTGTGTGTGTGTAGAGATGGATTGTGGGTACTTGTTTGGCAGACAGGGCAGCAGGTTGTCTGAGGAGCAGGTGGTTGCTGACAGGACTGTGATGGACATGGATTCACATTACACTCTACTCTGCCATGCTAGAAAATAAACACACACACGAAACTATGCCACAGTTGCACAAGACATGCCAGCAGGAGAGAAGGACACGAGTGAAGATCAAAGACCAAATCTTTTAGATTTCATACTTCACATGAACAGCGGTTGCAGTCGTCTGGGCTGAAGACATCACCATTTCTATAGATATCGCCATGAAAGCTGCATTCTGCAATCAGAGACATACACAAGTTGTATTGCACTGGAACGAAACCCCTATGGGCACAATCTGAGATAAGCATTTCAGATGAACCACAGCAGGTAAAAGTGTGTGTGTGTGTGTGTGTGTGTTTGTGTGTTTGTCTGCAAGCGTATTTCCTACCCACATCAGATCCAATCTTATCTACAATATGAACTATAAAGATGTCAGAGTATTCACGAGTGACTCCAGACTGTACTAGATATCTGATGTCTGAAAATGAGTTGTTAACAGAAATTCAATGCATGCTCACGTAATGTGGTGTAGCGTCTGGACCAATCAGACACACCATTTTTCATTTGATTTAACAAATCAGTTATTCATTAGATTAACAAATCGTCACAGTCCCCTCACCCAATAAACTGGATGCCAGGATGTCTGCAACGACACCAGGCCCCCACTGCTTACCATGGCAACCCTGACACCAGATACATTTACGACCTAATGAAATGTAAGTAGGGAAAATCACTGCTATATATATATATATATATATATTGTCAGCATGCAGTGTACCAGGAATAGGACTGAATAATCAGAGTGCGATTCAAACACGGAATACTTTAATAAACAACTCAGGAATCAGGAGACGATGATAACACAACTAAACATGACGGAGAACGGATCAAGACTAAAGGGAGAACTGAGGGCTTATAAGCAAGAACCAAACAAAGGGAACTAATGAGATGAATAATCAACACAGGTGGAAACTAATGAACTAATCAGGGAACACAGGAAAACTAGGTCACTGGCAGGAAGAACAGAAACACAGGGAATTCTAAAACAAACATTATAATTATTTTAATATGATAAATGATTACTTTTGACCAAACTTACAACTTTGATTTAAACAGGATCATTTTGTACCATATTCATATAAATTTTCAACTGTATATAAACAGAACTAAGGATTCTTTCAAACAAAGACAGTTTATTGATATAAAATGGAGAAACGATATGTAATATTCTATTCAACAAATGAGCATGATTGAGACATTGATTATATAACTGTTTGATGCTTCAGCGCTGCTGCCATAAAAGCAAAATAATCTAAGCAGATACAGACATTCTGATATGCCTTTTTTAATACCATAAGTATCATATAGCGTCATATATATATATATATATATATATATACATATCATTTTAATTGTGAACTGCTGTGAAATAAATAAATGAATAAATAAATAAATAAACAAATTTAACAGTTAACAATGTATTTAGAAATATGTGTAACATTAAGTAAGATCACAATTTCAGTAAACAAGATGGAGAAAAGTAAGAGAGATTGTAGAATAAGACTGATATAAACAGCTGTTGGATTGTCTTCTATTCTGAATCTGTAATCCACTCTGTCTAAACATTCACATCCAATTAGACAGAGAGCAAAAACGGAAAAGAGATAAAGAAAGCAAGAGAGGGGAAATAAATAACTTTTTATTGCATTTACAGGTCTGTTTCACCATGACGAGGCATTTGCACATAGCATGTGTGACAAGTACACACACACATTAAATCATCACACCTTTCTGTGCCAAAAAAAGACTCATTTTACTGAATATATCAAACTGTCCTACAACAGACCATAAAAGCAAAATAGAATATGTCTATTTTATGTTTTTATACCGGGGTGCACCAGTGCAAATCAATTTTAAACCACTTGGCATCACTCCATCATTACAGATAGATGCAGACAGATTAAGACTTTAGGGAAAACCAGTCTCTATGAAGAATAAATAAATTTGTGTAATGCGATTCATTATTTTCATTTGTGGCGTGCATGTAAATTCCCCTGATCTATGGTTTGATGATTGGCTTGCTGATTAAAGCTTAGATGGTTAATGAGTATGTATGTTGTAATTAATTATTGTGTGTTTTGATTCCTAATGCTGATGTAATGGATGTTAGATTACTCACCATTCAAGCGGTTGCACTGAACTTTCGCATGGGTGCAGTAACAGACAGTGCGGCTGTCAGGAGACCAGCGGGACCCCTCATCCATCTCACGTCCCTCCCACACGCAATTCCGTTTCGAACACTCACACGTTTCCAGGTAGTCAACTCTCGCCTGCAGGTCCGTGTTCTACATACATACAGAGAGTTGTTAAAACGTGTGTATACTTATCCAGCATGACACCCTTAAAAAAAGTATTACAAAATATATTTTGAATTAGCTTTTATTTTTTCATTTTCATTTTTAGTGACTTTGTTATGTGCTTTTGGCATTTGTATTAAATTAAAAAACAAATATCTCAACAAAGTGTTAATTTCTTTTATTTCAGTTTTGGTTTTAGTTTAATTTCAGTAAGTAATTTTAGACTTAGACTACACTTAAATTTTTTTCTATTAGTTGGAAAGGTAACATCTCATTTTTGTCGTCTAATTATATATAATATATAAACTAATTAGATTAGTTTTCATCTAATATTTGTATTTTTTTTTTTTCAGCTTTATTTCAGTTTATATTTTGTAAATAGTTTTAGTTTGCTAACAGTAATATATTTGATACAGTATGTACTGTTGTCCTTTTTTATTCGTTTTTTTAATATTTATAGATTATATTTTATTTAGCTTAATTTTAGTTAAATTTCATTTAGTAATTTTATCACTTATTTCAGTTAGCTGTCAAAACAATAATTAAATATTTTTAATTGAAATTTGTAATCTAATATTGACATTTTATTATATTTCAGCTTTTATATCAATTAATAGTTTTCGTTTTAGTTAATGATAACAACAGCACTTTGACATATATACTGTTATGGTAAATAATTACCATATTCATTTACCATGACATTCACATGGTACTCCAAGGTAATTCAATACTGTATACCACATGACTATCATTGTACATTTCCCTTATACAAACCCTGATATGGTCGTGGTACACTTCCAAAAAAACATTGATAGTACCACAGTACTTTCTAGTCCTTTTTTCCAAGTGCAGACACACCAGCATGCCTATTGGCGATACGTTTCCAATGTACCTGTCTCTTCAGCATGTCCAGCATGGTCTTGATGTTATGCAGGTTGTTCTCCAGTTGGCCAAGACGCATGTTTGATTCAATGGGGGATCTTGTAGCTGATACTATGCCATCTCCACGGTCTCCCTGATCTTGCATCATATCCAGGTTATAGTTTGCGGTGGGACTGATGGGAATGACTGTGTCTGGAAGGGAGTCTGTAATAACCACAAACACACAAATGCATGCAAACACACAGGTTATTAAACATGAATATATTGTGATGAAAACCATGCTTTTTTTTTAACCTGAATATTTTGGACAAATTTCAAGATGTGTACATCAGTATATGATCTATAATGCTGAAGCATAAATTCACCATGAGTATTGGAGGGCAAAAAAGGTAATAAGGTTCCCAGAAAACAATCATAAATATCCCTTATAAAATAATACTACACCCCAAAAATGCACTAGCTGACATTAACCTATAGCCAAAAAAGAAAACATAACAGATGTAAATATCTATAAACCTGAATCAAACCCTCTTGTGGGTCCTAACTTTACATCAGAAGAAGCTGTATGACCTATATTTTCAGCTTTGCTGTGTGTTTTTTTTTTCATGTGCATGTGTAGTTCAGATGTTTAAATGTTTTTATTGTTTTCATGCCTGTTACATTGTCACAGAACCACGGACGCCTCTCATATGCCCTGGTGGAGAGTTCAGCCGTCTGCCACCCACCCTGAAACGATGAGAAAACACATACAGTCAGTTCTGTGGCCATGAACACAATGAACTCTGTAACCATGGCAACCCATTGCAAAGTCATGACCGTAACGTCGTAAAACAGATAAGCAATGACAACACCAGAACAATCACCTCTGTAGAATGCTTTAAAGGCACAGTTCACTCAAAAATTAACATTGAGATGTTTTCTTCTGTTGAAAACAAAACAAAAATAAGATATTTTGAAGAATGTTGGTAACCAAACAGTTTTTTTCTTCCATAGATGCTGTAAATACACCATCTGGTGCCAAAATGGATATTTCCCCACCATTTCCACATAGCTGTTCACTTTCCTATGAGGAGTGGCATTTGTTTCAAACACGATACTACATATCTCAACTCTTGGTAGCTTCAGAAGCTGTTAAAATGAACAAAATCCCTTCTTCCAAATATCCCTGAAACTGATTCAAATCTTATGAACAGACTACAGAGAGCAAGGCAATGTGCCTCAAATTGACCATTTCAGTGCATTTGTAGCACTCAAATGCATATTGTTTTGATAGAGGAAAATTGTAACATTATTTATTCTTTAGACATTATGGTTTAATTAAAATAAGTATTGGCTGTTTCATTGAGAGCCCCATATCTTTGGGACTGAATGATATAGGGCTTTGAAAATGAAGATTTCAGAAGAAAACTTAATTAGAATCTAAAATCATATTGCAATATCTTTAATACTTCTTCAGTTATAGGCACGCAAACTTTGGAAAAAGAATATTTATGGCACAGACAGGTCTGTTCAATGCAGTTGCTTTGACACAAGGAAACGAGACACATTTCTAGTTTCAACCAGTGGTGTATTGTAATGAAGTAATAATACTTTGTTACAGTACTTAAGTATTTTTTGGGAGTATCTGTACTTTACTTGAGTTTTTATATTTCAGCCAACTTTTACTCCACTACATTTCCTAATTAAAATGTATACTTTTACTCCGATACATTTTCCCAAAGCATATTCGTTACTTACTACAAAATAGTCAGAAGTCAGAAGAACACGGACTGCAGGGAAGCAGGTTTGACGAATCAGTGGTCTGGTGCTTGCTCAAGTCGAGTCTGGGGTGTGCGATATACAGTATATCTGCGATAATATGGTATGTGTTGTTGTAATGATGTGCGATCTGACATTATCAAGTAGGCTATAGTAGGCTCACCAAATCACACAGAGTGCACACACGTTGATTTATCTATTAAAACTCAAAATTCCAGGCATTCTAAACTGTAGACGGCAAAAATGCTTCTGTATGCTTTTTATATTTATATAATTTAATATATTTAACTTAATCTATATCACACAAAGAGTACAGTTTTTCAGCATAAACACATTTAATAATCATCTTATACAAGTTTAGTAAAGCAATAAGTGACTTACATTTTAGACATAATATTGCTTGATTTTGCTAGTTTCACACCCGTGTGAACTTGAGGAGAACTGACTTTATAAATTTACTAAAAATTCCATTGGGATCAGTTGATTAGAAGTCAAAAAATGGCGAATTTTTAGGTGTCCAGATACACTAGCATGTAGGTACATATTTGTTTGTATCAGTAAACTCACACTGAACTTGCTGGCCTTTTTTCCTGCAGTGCTGGAGAAAATAACCTGCAGATCATGTGTGCTGCCATCTTGCTGAAGTCATTTTTTCACCCCTGAAATTTGGCTCTGAATCTCAGGTGAAAAATGGCATTTTGACCCCCTTCAACAAAACAGTGGATTGCTTAGTAAATATCCATCCATGACATTTAATATTTTAGCTTTCATCACTATATACGTTTATCTTTCTTCAGAAAAAAATATTAGCAAAATCAAAAATTTGAGCTTGGGAAGTTTTTGAAATTTGGTTGATTTGACACAGAATGACCCAATAGAGTAATTCCTACACCAAATTTTTATAGTGTAGTTATTGTGAAAAACTTCACCAGTAGTTATTCTCAACACCCGTGTGAACTTGAGGAGAACTGACTTTATAAATTTACTAAAAATTCCATTGGGATCAGTTGATTAGAAGTCAAAAAATGGCGAATTTTTAGGTGTCCAGATACACTAGTATGTAGGTACATATTTGTTTGTATCAGTAAACTCACACTGAACTTGCTGGCCTTTTTTCCTGCAGTGCTGGAGAAAATAACCTGCAGATCATGTGGGAAGTCCAGAGTCAGGATTCGTCCCCCTTCTTTCAGTTTGAGCACCACGGCATCCTGGCAGTCCACATACAGCACCATCTGCCTGGGCTCCACACTCAGAGCCATTCTCACCCAACCTCTGCTCGTAAAGGGACTCCCGGCGGGCAACTTAAGCACCTCCGGCTGCATGCCGTCCGCTGACCTGAACTCCAGCTGCAGCCTGTCTGCTTTTGTGTTGGAGATGAGCTCCAGCAGGGGGCGATCGCCATTCTGCAGGAAGGTGGAGGAGGTGAAGGAGATGAGGGTGGCCTCCGAGCCTCTGCTCTGACGGCCCACCAGGTGCAAACCCAGGACGCCCTGTGAGGTGTTGAAGAGGTAGTCCAAAAATGTCTGGGGTAGTTTGAGATGAGGCGTGTTGGAACGGAAACGCCAGGCCGGCGTCTTTGGGTCACGACCTTTGACCTTAGACACCCCGCGGGTAGAGCGAGTGACGTTAAGAACCTCCAAGAGGTTGATTACTAATAGAAGAAACATGTAGAATGACATCAGTGACATTAACAAGCCACATGCTGTATGCCTGGTAATCATTCAGTACCGTGGTATACATCAAGTGCTCTGGTATTACAATAGTATATGATACAGTTTCATAACTGTACCAGGAAAAAGGTTTTTAATTACGTTTTTTAATGTTTTTGAAAGAATTCTCGTATTTTTACCAAGGATGCATTTATTTGATAAAAAAATAGTAAAGACGGTAATATTGTGAAATATTATTACAATTGAAATTTTAATTTATTCCTGTGATACAAAGCTAAATTTTTGGCATCATTACACCAGTTTTCAGTATCACATGATCCTTCAGAAATCATTCTAATATGCTGATTTGCTGCTTAAGACACATTTCTCATTATTATCATTGTTGAAAATAGTTGTGTTTCTTAATATTTTTTTGAAATACACGATACATTTTTTTCAGGAATAAAAAGCTCAAAAGAACAGCTCATTTAAAATAGAAATGTTTTGTAACATTATAAATGTCTTTACTGTCACTTTTGATCAACTTAATGCATCAATTAAACACAGAATGATTTCTGAAAGATCACGTGACACTGAAAACTGGAATATGGATGCTGAAAATTCCACTTTACATCAAAGGAATAAATTACATTTGAATATATATTCAAATAGAAAACCATTATTGTAGTTCATAATAATATTTCAAAATGTTACTGTTTTTATTGTATCGAATAAATGCAGCCTTGGTGAGCATAATAGATTTCTTTCAAAAATATTAAGGCAATCTCAATTATTTCATTCTGTTAACTGGTAGTGAATCTGCTATCATACAGATGAAACGGTACAAAATTTAAAGGCTTTTTGACAGTTTATAAGCTTGCAAGTAGTAATATGTGAGGGGGAAAAACCCTGCAGAGCAATGATGGTGAGTGAGCAAAATGCTCTTAAAGGGTTAGTTCACCCAAAAATGAAAATTAGCCCACAAATTACTCACCCTCAAGTCATCCTAGGTGTATATGACTTTCTTCTTTCAGACGAATCCAGTCGGAGTTATATTAAAAATTGTCTTTGATCTTTCAAGCTGTTTAATGTCACTCAGCGGGTGTTGCATGCATCAGTCCAAAAGAAGTTAAATAAAAAGCGCCCATCCATAATTAAAAGTGTCTCACACGGCTCCGGGGGGTGAACAAAGGCCTCCTGTAGCAAATTGATGCATTTTTGTACGAAAAATATCCATATTCAAAACGTAATAATCACTTTAATGTAGCTTGTGCCAACAGTCCAACACGGAAGCAGCTCTGGGGGAATGACGTATGAGGTCTCGTGAAAACCAACGTTTGATTACAGGAGCAAAGGAAGCAAAGTTTCCTTACTTTAGCAAAGAAAAAC